TCTCAGAATGAGACTGAGCGTGGTCTCTTCCCATCGTATATTCCTCCCTAGTGCTGGGATTAAAGGTGTGCACTACTACCGCCCGGTTTCTATGGCAAGCTAGTGTGTACTACCGGTGTGTGTTACCCCACCGCTGCCTGGTCTGTAAGGCTGATCAGTGGGCTGTCTCACTCTCTGATCTTCAGGCAGGCTTTATTTATTAAAATACAAATGAAATGCCACTGTAGAGGTGACCTTTTTATGAAAGGTCCTCCAGCTGTGCTTGTGTTTGTATTTGGAGAACTCTGCCCAAGGCTTTACCCTGGCATCCAGCTGCTGGTCTTTTTTCCATCTATTTGATGTGGACATCTTCCCTTAAATAGCGGGCTTTGTTAGAACACTTCATCCGCGAGTATCATACTGTGGCCACACCCCCAAAACTACCTTGTTCACCTCCACCCTATTAGGTAGCCCTGGCTGGCTTGGAACTCATGGAACCACCTACCCTTCCCTCTCAAGTGCTGAATTTAAAGGTGTGTGCCAGCGTGCCCTGCCTCCTTTTTCCATACTGTTCCTACCTTATATGTTCATGGCATTTGTGTGTTCAATTTTAATCTAGATTTCATGTAGGCAAAGTGGGATATTTGTATTTTTGAATCTGGTTTATTTCACTTTATATTTTGATCTTCAGTTCAAGCCATTTTCCTGCAAATGATACACTTAACTCTTCTTTGTATACACATCATTTTTTTGTATCCACTCATTTGATGCCATCAAACCTGGCTACAGGGAAGAGCGTCACTGGAAACTTGGGTGCACACTTATCTGTGCTGGTTAGAATGGGGTGACTGGGTCATATGTGTTGTTTCCAAAACCTGCACACCAATTTCATGTCTGCAGCACTCCCCACTCCCAGCGAGAATCTCCCCTCTCCCCAACCCTACCCAGCATTTGTTTGTTCTCTTAAAGATAACTCTGAGTTGAATCTAAAAATATACTTTTGAATTGCACTTCCCCGGGTTTTGAGCGTCGAACCCTTTGTCTTGTCTCCTTTGTGTGTGGCGTAAGTGCACATGCGTAGGTGTGAGCAAAGGCTGGAGGAGGACACTGGGGGACCTGTTCTATCACTCTGTAGCTCAGGGTGTCTCACTGAACCTGGAGCTAGGCTGGCTGCCAGCAAGTGGTCCTCCTGTCTCTGCCCCCAACAGTGCTGGGGTTACAAGGGCACCGAAGCAGCCACTCCTGACTTTAATGGGTGCTGGCACCCAAACTTGGGTCCTCATACTTAAGCAGCAAGCACCTTTACTCAGCCATCTCTCCAGCCCCTTTTTGAGAACTCATTTGCTCATTTATTGATTACATCTTTCATCTTTAGAGTACCTTATGTTATGAGCTGGGATCAATCTTCTGTCCAATGACTAACAGGCAGCAATTCTTTCCCATCTGCAGACTGTCCTTTGCTGTGTAATTTAATTGCAAATAATCCTATTAATCAATTCTTGCTGTGGAGTTCTCAGAAAAGTCTGGACTTGCACCTCTATCTTGAAAGTGTTTCCCCTTCTGGTTTCAGGCCCTATGTTCAGGTCTCTGGCCCACTTTGAAGGAACTTTTGTCAGGGTGAGATGAGAGAGATAGATGCACTTTCAATTCCTTTACGTGTGGGTGTCCACTTCCCACACTCCATTTGTTGAAGAGAGCTTCTTCTGTGTGTGTTTTGGCACCTTTGTTAAATCGAGTAACTGTAGCATGGGTTTATTTCTGCGTTCTCTACTTTGGATTCTGCCATGCTGTTAAGTGTGTTAGTCCAGCCCTGCAGTGTAGTGGAAGTGGGGTGCTGTGGTGCTGACTGCTCTGCAGTGTAGAAGTGGGGTGCTGTGGTGCCTCCCGCACTGCAGTATAGTAGAAGTAGGGTGCCGTGGTCCCTCTGGCCTTGCCTGTCCTCTTGCGAGTGCTTTGGCTAGCTGGAGTCATCTGTGCATTCATTTGAATGAGAGGATTATTTTTCCTCACTCCATGAAGAAAGCTTTTGGAGTCTGGATGGAATTCAAGCATTTATCAGTTCTGAGAGTTTTCTGGTAGCAGGTTAGGGTGTTAGTATGGGATTGTGTCTTTGCAAACAGGACAGCTGCAATTCTTCCTTTCCTATTTGTACCCCACCCCCATTTACTACGCTTGCTAGAAGTATGTTATATCTAGCCCTATGGAAGTTTAGCATGAAGGGATGTTAAAAGTTTGTCAGCAGTCTTTGTCATCAGTTGAGATGCTATAGATTTTTGTCCCTATATCTTACTTATGTATTGTTTACATTTGAACTGTCTTCACAGCCGTGGATTAAAGCCAAGATGACAACGCTGTTGATGTCTTGGATCTGCCAATGTTTTGATAACTTTTACATCTATGTCCATCGGCGAGTTTGGTCTGTGGCTTTCATTTATGTGTTATGTTTCATTCATATTTATGATTCATTATGGAATCAGAGTGGGCCTGGCTTTTAAAAATGAAATTGGTAATAATTGTTCCCTTTGTAATTTCAAACTATTAGGTATTAGTAGTTTGGATTTAGCAAATAGCAAGCATAGTAAATAGGGGAAATTCCCTCCAAAGTTTGGAGATAGAGATAAAGGCCTGCTACACTTTTATTCAATATTGCGCTTGAAGTCTCAGACAGAACAATAAGGCAAGAGGAAGAAATAAGAGGACTGGGGGGGGTACAAAGAAAAGGAAGAATTACAGCCATCCTGTTTGCAAAGGCACAATCCTATGCTAATACTCTAACCCGCTACCAGGAAACTCTCAGAACTGATAAATGCTTGAATTCCATCCAGATTCCAAAGACTTTCTTTGTGGAATGATAAAAAAACAAATCCTCTACTAGTTAATAGTTACATGTGTTAGGTCATCTGTAGATATCTAGAATTCAGCAGGGAATCCATATAGCGCTGCGTGCCCTTCTTTGTTGGGAGATTTTACACTCGTTGCCCACTAGAGATTTCTTTGCTTATTATCCTCTTGATTTATCAATTTTCTTCTAGATTTTCCAATCTCCTAATGACCCTTCAATTTCTCTGGCTGTTATTTTTTCTTTCAGTTTGGCTTAAGGGTTTATCAGTCTTGTTTTATTAATGAAGTACTGTTAACAGACTCTAAAAATCATACCCACCTTCTGAGTTTCAGACTAGTGCATTTTTTTTTTATTCATTTGTATTTTATGTACAATGGTGTTTGGCCAGCATGTATGTCTATGAAGGTGCCAGATCCCCAGAAATTGGAGTTACAGACAGTTGTGAGCTGCCATGTGGGTGCTGGGAATTGAACTCAGGTCCTTTGGAAGGGCAGTCAGTCACCTTAACTGTTTAGCCACCTCTCCAGCCTGGATTAGTGTATTTTTATGATGAAGAAACAGACAGGTCAAGAACTAGAATCCAGCTCACAGAGGACAGATCTTACCTTACTCCAAAGTCAGGGCTCCTAACCAATGGCTGTGGTAAATTATATCAGCTTTTCTTGCAGCCCCTTGTGAGCTTTGGAATTGAATCGAGACCCCGCTAGTCCCCACCCAGCCTTCCATCCAGAGGACAAGTGCCATGTCCACGTCTGCCTTTCACTTCCAAAGGCTTCCCTCCCTGGTACTGACTGCATCTTCTTAGCTACAGCACTAGCTTGATCCTGGCATAGAGTAGAGCTAGCTTTTCCTTACGGCATGGGGCTGTCAGCTGAAATGGAAGATGCTAATAAACTTTGTACAGGGAATTCTGTTAAGTGAAATTGGACACCCTGGTGTCCTTGGTGACTTTGAATCTCCTTCTTCATTAGCAGCTTGTACTTGTGAGTGACCAGGCCTGGAGTGAGGCCAGTGGGCACCAGCTGGGCACACACAACACCTACAAGTGAAAATCTTATACCTAAAGTTGTTTCTCTAATCCTAGCCTAGGTTATACCAGGCAGAAAAACATCTATCTCTCAGTTGTTGAAACACAGTGACCCATGAACATGCAACAGTGAGGGACAGAAGGGCGCTTGGCCAAGCGGGGAGAGTTCACTAAGTCAGGCAGAAAAGTCCCATGGCGTTTGCGCTTTATTTCTAAATAGGCATGGCTATACCTCTCCCCTTGGTCTGTGGTTCACACAACACTTCTCATGGGTGTGGGTTAAGATGCAGGCTCCGCTAAGGCTCCTGTCTTGTCTATAACCAAGCAGAGGCCACAAGGTTCTTGGTGAAGTACTTTATACCAGTGGTTGGCAAACTCTGCCCAAAGCCAGACAGTAAATATTTTGTGTTTTGGTGGGCCACAAGTTCTGAAGCAACCACGCAACTCTGTTCTTCCAGCACCGAAGCAGTCGTAGGAGTCTGTAGAAACAGGGCACGGCTTTGTTCTAACGCAACTTCATTTTTGAGGTATTTATTGTGGTGTTTGCTTGTATGTATGTACAGCACACTGCATGCTTGGCACCCATGGAGATCAGAAGAGGGTGTCGGGTCCTCTGAAACTGGCGTTAAGGACAGCAGTGAGCCACTGTTTGGGTGCTGGTTGTACCAAGTACTCTTACCTGTCATCTCTCCAGATCCTAAAATGTTATTTCTACAGCCACATTGGCCTTAGTAAGTTAAGTAGCCCCTTAGTCAAGCTGGGCGGTGGTGGTGCACTTGGGAGGCAGAGGCAGGCAGATCTCGTGAGTTCGAGGCCAGCCTGGTCTACAAGAGCTAGTTCCAGGACAGGCTCTAAAAAAAAAAAAACTACAGAAAAACCCTGTCTTGAAAAACAAACAAACAAACAAAAGTAGCCCCTTAGTCAATGAAACTTACTTTTCTAGAAATCACTGGTAAGAGTCACCTCCCAACATACACGAGCTGGCTGAAAATATTTCTAGGTATGCGCTCCTCCTAAGCTACAGGTGACACTGGTGACTCGGGTCGGGCTTCCCTGCAAATGATGCAAGAACTGACTGCAAGCGTGCAGAGCAGGTGCCGCCGGCCGTCAAGGCACCAAGGGCTTCACTTGCTTTTCTCTTCTGTCCTGCAGGTCTTTTCCTCATCCTCGGCCTGATACTCTACCCTGCGGGCTGGGGCTGCCAGAAAGCCATAGACTGTGGACGGCATGCATCTCCCTACAAACCTGGAGACTGTTCCCTGGGCTGGGCCTTCTATACGGCCACTGGGGGCACGGTGCTCACGTTCATCTGTGCCGTCTTCTCCGCACAAGCAGAGATCGCAACCTCCAGCGACAAAGTCCAGGAAGAAATTGAAGAGGGGAAGAACCTGGTCTGCCTGCTGTAGTCTGGAAGACGTGAATGCCGCCGTTACCTTTCTTTATGACTTGTGACACAGTCTTCGCCATTTGAATCAAGTGAAGAACCAGTCTTGACCTAGCAGAGCCACACTCCACAGCCCAGGCCTTCGTGAGACCAGCGAGGGGTCGCTCAGCAAGCAGAGTTCTTGCACACGCAGGCTGCAGTGCACATAAGGAGACCAGACAAGGACATGTGTAGCCCAACTGCGGAGTCCCCTCAGACTCTGTCTCCCCAGAGATCCAGAAAGGACAGTGATCTGACTCAGCAAGGCAGGCAGCAATCTCCTGGAAGCAGAGAGGCCAGCCGGCCTCAGGGTGGTTTGAGGCAGGTTTCTGGCTCAGAGCCATGTGTCTATGAACATCTCAGGATGCAGGCTCAAGGTGGTGTCTGTTTTCTCCTAGTTCTTTCAAGTTGTTTCAACTGGAGACTGAGAGGAAGACTACAGACTGCTGATAGCGGGGTGCATGCTGAGGTTGCAGCATGACACCAGTTTGCTCAGCAGACCAAAGGCTCAGTGGGGATGGAGTAGACTCCCGCAGTGGACTACTCTAGTCTGAGTTAAGACAGACAGTCAGTCAGCCTGGTGCCTAAACTAGCCCCTCCTCCTGGCAGTTAGTTTTCTCCTGGGGTTGGGGTTGTGCAGGCTGCCCAAGGGAACCTCAGTGTTCTTCCTTCCCAAAGACAGCGGCCTCCAGAGCCAGCTGTGGCTCGTGCAGATGTTCACAGGGAGAACTCCAGCCTCTGCAGGGAGGACTTTCTGTTTGGTGACTGTGCTGTCTAGCCAGCTGGCTCCCATCCCATTGGCATTCTTTGCAGAGAAAGCAGGAGCTAGTCACGAAGGTTTCTATAGCTTCTGGTGTTGGTCCTGACAGCGGACAGGGTGACAATCACTGCCACTGCCAACTTGCATCAAAAAAATCCCACCCCCAGGGAAGCACAGAACAAATCAGGGGCTAGACCAAGCTCAGCACACCTGCCTAGGCATGCTTACAACAATCACCAAATACCACTACTAAAAAGGACTCAGGGCCTTTAATCCAGTTTCCACAAATTATCCATATAACCAAAGTAGCCAGAAATACCAGAGTCTGGCAATATATAAGCCTTGCAGATAGAGACCCTCTGTAAAAGTGGAAGTGGAGTGAGGACCCATTTGGTTTTAGAGATATGTTTCCACTAAGGGCATTGTCTTAAAAGTTAAATAGTTAAGCACTTTCTACTGGCAAGTGTTTGCTGAGTACAACCAGGTATACAACCCTGATTCAGATTTTACAGCCTTGCCCCACTATCAGAGCTGTGTCAGAAGCCTTGGACCAGAGCAACCCCTCATATACAGGTGGGCAGGTGGGCTAGGCCCACTGGGGTTTCATTACAGTTCATTTGCCCTTTGGCCTAGTCCAGAAACCATCTGATCTCTCATGAAGAGAAAGGTTAGGAAGGAAGGGTATTGAATCAGATCTTAACTTCAGTTTTGAATCAGTGTTCAAAATAAGCAAGGTGGAGATCCTGTGGCTTCTTTAGAAGAGAGAAGGGGAACCCTAAGCAGCCCTAGGGAGACTGCGGAAGCGGGAACAGATCACTGAGGGCACGCATGGCCATACGGCGATCACTGAGGGCACGCATGGCCATACGGCGTGTGGAAAGGCTCTTGCCCTTCGCTGTGTGTTTGAGATGTTCGTGCCCATCCTTCTGCCAGCACAGCTGCTGTGTTTCCAACCTGGGCAATACTTGGCATGAAAACTGTGACAAGAATACTTTGTTTTCCTTGATCTTAACCAGATAAAAATTTGGGTATTTTTAATACAACCTTAGCCCATTCTTTACAACCTAGTCCTAAGCCAGGCCTGCTCCTTGGCTACGGTGGTGGCAGTGGACCATATCAACCTGGTAACAGTCACAAATGAAAGAAATGTGGCCTCTCTGCCAGATTAAGTTACTTAACAGTGTTTTTCACTAATTTAAACATTAGAGAAGATCCCCCGCCCCCAAAGGGGCACAAATGAAATGCTATGCTATTGAAAACTACCTAAATGCTGACTCAGTGGAGCAGAGAGAGAAAAGGCGATGTCCAACATTTGAGACCTTCAAACTAATACACAGACTTACACAAGGAATGAAAAGACCATCTACAGTCATGCTAGGGTAGAATAGAACTTCTCATCAAAAGCCACTTCTTTTTCTCGATTACTAGTACAGGAAAAGTCTTACTTTGCCTGCATTTGTGCTCGGCCTCTCAGTGAATGCTAAAGCAGAAATACGTGGAGTCTGTGGATTCTTTAAACCTGTGTGGTAATTCAGCAGCATTACATTAACTGTGGAAGGCTTTCTGTATAGTTCTCAAGTATCTGTGTGTAATGAGTGGTCTTTGTTAAACATGTATTCTGTAAAGTGCCATAGTCTTTTTATGTGTAGCATATTTAAATATATATATATATATATATCACATACACAAGTTTATCTGAAAGATGTGCAATAACAAAGGTGTATGTATGTTTTGTTTGGGGAAACTGGACATGCTTCAAAACAGGGATGTTTCTGTTTTGCAAAGGAAAACTAGACATATTTGCCTTCGTGGCTAGCCACTAGTCCATAACAATTCTAATGCTACACAAACCTTATGTGAAGAAAAGACTGGTGTGAACTCATTTTTCCTGGGTCTAAATAAACACGATCACTATATTTATGGGAGGCCCAGTCAATGCTAGTCTTTCGTGTAAAATGTGAAGCTGCCATGTTGCCTTTTCTGTTAGCCTGATACCTAGGAGCTGGCATAGACTAAGAAGCTATCCTGGATGTGCTTTTGTAGACTATTAATGCTTGGCCACTATACTTAAGGGCTAGTCTCACCCTTCTTAGCCAACAGTCTGGCTTAGGACAGACTGTCCTGTGCAATAACATGTGGCTGCTAGAAATCCCGGGCCTGCATTTGTGTTTAGGGAAGAACTGCAGGGATGAGCGGGACTTCTGAGACTGTGGGGAACTCCTTCTATAGCCAAGGGGCCTGAGGGCTGTGAAGGAGCTCAGCACAGCCGGACGTTCAATAGCCACTTGAGCCAAATACACAGCGGATGGACTCAATTGGAGCCTTCATATGTGTGGTTATCCTGTTCTGTTATAAACTAGTACATTGTTTGTCTAGTATTGATTAGGATTCTGTACATAGGATTTCACAGTGTTCTCCCTTTCCCCCGAGATCTGAATTAAATCAGATTTTGCAAACTCAGTCTTTCAAATTTGACTATGTTGGCTTCAATTCAGTGCACATAATTTGATCAAAAATACCAATCAGACAAAATGTAAAGACTTATTGTAACATAGACATCAAAGAAAATATCCAGGCATTTTCTACTGCTGATTCTTAACCTTGCATGGGTTGCCTTTAATTTCTTACTTGAAGAAGTGCCAACACAATCATAGGCATCTTAAATTTAAAGTAAAACTGTGAGACATGAAAGTGATTTAGAGCATTTGCTAACTAGAAGGTGTATCTTCTCCTCTCTCTCAAAAAAACCAAAAACCAAAAACAAAACAAAATACACACACACACACACACACATACAAAAAAAAACAACTAAAGGAAAAGTTATGGAGCCTTCTATATCCACAGTCCCTAGAGAGGACCCTGACCAAGAAGTCAGGAAACCTGGGCTTTTGGTGTATAAACTCGATGGTGCTAAACACCATTTCCATAAACTCATCTAACCCTGCACCTTCCCAGGGACACAAGCTGACCTCACTGCTGGCAGATGGATGGAGGGCACGTGCATGCTCTGACTGCTGAGCAGAAACGACCGCCACCAGGTTTCCAACTGTTTAAGTCAAAGTTAAAGGTTAGGGCACCAAGCACTGGAGGAGAAATGGTTTTAAGACAAATCATCTGGATAATCGCAGGAAAACGAGCTTTTTCTGTGCCTCTTCAGGTGTTATATCTTGTACTCAAAAGTAAACCAGCAGAGAGCACTGGGGCTTCAGTTTTGAGCAACGCCTGGACATGGTCCCTTGTGCTTGCTTTTCAGAGTCTCTCTCTCTCTCTCTCTCTCTCTCTCTCTCTCTCTCTCTCCCCCCCTCCTCCCTCTCTCTGTGTGTGTGTGTGTGTGTGTGTGTGTGTGCGCACGCATGCACGTGCATGTGATATGTTCACATGCAGAGGCCAGAAAAGGACATCTGATACCTTCGTCTAGCACGCTCTATCTTATTTATGTTTTAGGTAGGCTGGCTGGCTGGGAGCTCCTAGGATATACCTGTCTCCACCCCCTGATGCAGGTTATAAGCCCATGCAGTTATGTGCAGTTTTTATATGGAGATTCAAACATAGGTCCTCCTTGCTGACATGGAAAGCACGCTTATCCACTGAGTCTTCTCATCAACTACCATCTAGTTTTTACAGGGAAGTGTTGCCACTAGATCTCCTAGAAAACACACTCAACTTCCTCTGGTAGAGCCCCATAAAGTCTTCATTGCCCTGGACATTCCTGTGTGTGGACATTGTTTCAAATGACTCAGCTCCTTTGGGACAGGCAGCACGAATGGCAAAGCCCGACAGCAAGCATGGCGATTGCAGATAGCACCGAGAACAGAGCCTGTCTCCGCAGTTTAGTTGTTTGTGTGGCTTTCCCCTTCTGCCCCACCTTCTTCTTCCTTACAGCTTCCTCTTCCCTTCTGCCCCTACCATCTTCTTTCTTACAGCTTCTGCTCCTTAACCTTAAGACTTCTACAGAATCTCTTCAAGACATGAATTGCTCTTTTTGCTTAGTATGTACAAAGGATACAGATAAAAGCACAAATAGAGGAAGTAGGAAACTTCAAACCACGTGGAAAGGAGAATCAATCAAATAACATGCAGCCTTTAGCAGCTTTTTCGCTTTTGACAGTTAGATATTCTAAAAGAACCAACAATCTACAGGCACGCAATCCTCCAAGTGCCAATACTTGGAAGAAACCTCCAGTTTACTTACTTCTTACAGAAAAGCAAAGGTAAACGACAGCAGTGAGAGGAAAGACATGGGGATGAACTCAGGGCATAGAAGGAAAGCGTGGACAGCAGGGGACCATCAGAGGCAGGAGGGGATGGAGAGCCATCCAGGATAACTGCAGGCCTTTAGTGTGGACTCAGTGGGAAATGATGCACCCACCAAGATGGAGAGGCCAGAAGAATCAGGGACAAAGGCTGCCACCAGAGGCTACTTGTATGTAGTTGGGACTGGGAATCCTAAGCACACATGAAGCAGGAGAGTCAGCTTTGATTATTGTGCACACTGAGTCATGATAGCCTGAGGTAGAAGCCTTTATACATAGGTACCTGCCATTGGTGTAACTTTAGAGAAGTTCTTTGCCCAGGTTAGAAAGCTAGGAAGTGGCAAAGCCAAGGATCAAGTACAGGTCTGACACCAACTGTCTGCGCTACACTTCCTTCCTCATGGAAGGGTGAGGGGAAGGGTCAGCTGAGCACGCTGCTTCACTATGGCACACACGAGTGACATCAGCCATATCTTGACAAGGGTTCCCTCTCAGGAACCTAGCAAATCTTCACATTTGAAGACACATACTTTAATTTACTAATCATAATTCAGATCAATCCTGAAAACAGACATCAGCAATTCCTCAGATCCATGACAGTGGCAAAACAAACAGCAAGCTTGGACTGCTTCCATCATATTTTAGTGGTGGGAGGCCCAACTGATAGATTATCTCGTAGCCAAGGAAAGATGCCATTAAGATCACATAAGCGTAAGTAACCTAATACTTAAGGATTTGTCCTCAACTTCTCCAAACACAAATGTCAAAGACCACTTAGCCCAACACACTGCTAAGAACAAGAAGCAAGAATTTGCCTCCTCATTGAAGTGGGAGCTTTGGTCAAGGGATGTCAAAAACAGTGTAATTTTTTTTTGTCTTGGGTAATGACCTTTTTCCTAAGGTCCACTGTTTCTAAAGATGGACACAAGTTACCAGAAATGTGGAAGGGTGAGAGGGAACTCAGGCTGGAGAGAAGAAGTTGAAGGATCTGGCGTCTGCCTTCCTCAGACCCTCACTAACTTTACTCCCATTACCTTGTGGGAATTTCCTAATCCTCTATAGAAATGGTGACGATTAGCAACTACATCATAGATTTGGTGCAAGGATTAAGAAATTTATAGAAAGCACTTAGTGTAATCTCTTCTAAATCCTCAATATTGTAAGAAAAGCAAGAGAATCCTGTCTTTCTAAACAAACACTTGGAATTTATTTTGTTTACCTTTTTTTGGACAGGGTCTCTATGTAGCCCTGGATGTCCTGGAACTTGCTGTATAGACCAGTCTGGCCTTGAACTCACAGAGATCCTCTTGCTCTCTGGCTCCTCAACGGTGGGATTTTAGAAGTCACACTTGGTGAAGGGTAGTATAACCTGTTGTCAAAATGATCAAATTTTGCTTACTGTAGAATTAGATTGGCTACTTAAGGCCAATGTTTGTTTCTTTCTTTCTTTTTCTTTTTTTTTTTTTTTGAGACAAGGTTTCTCTATGTAGCCTGGTTGTCCTGGAACTTGCTCTGTAGACCAGGCTGGTCTTGAACTCAGAGATCCACCTGCCTGCTGCCTTCTGAGTGCTGGGATTAAGGGCATGTGCCACCACTGCCCCCCCCCCGCGAGTCCACTGCCTCTTTGTATCTTGTTCTAATAAAGCACTCTGCTAATCAGCTTTACCTTACAGCTTCCAGGTAGGGAGGAGGTTCCTCTGTGAATGCAGAATACACTGTTATTCTTACACAGAGAAACAACACCGTCACCAATAAACTTTAAATGTTACTTTTATAAATTATTGGGTCAGTATGTTGTAATACTAAATAAGGGGAAATTTGAGAACATGTATTCATCATGCCGCTTTCACTCCATGAACTCCATACACACAGGAAAAGACTGGAAGGAAGCACAACAAAACCCCAGCAGAGGTATCCTTGGGTGTTGGGAGGGAGGGTTTATTTGTCTCCCCATCTGTCACTTTCTCCATTTCCCAAGTGTTCTTTAGCCAGGATGTATGTGTGGCTCTCACACTGAGGAAACGATTTTAAGGATGTGCGTGCGTGTCCACATGGCTCGCTCTCTGTGTAGGAGGCTGGGATACTATTGGAAAAATAACCGTGATGAAATAAGGGGCAGTGGTTTTAGTTGCTTTTCTCTTGTACCCAAACACCGGGATCCAACGCATGGCAATAATCACAATACCTTCAACCATCATTCGTTTTGAGAATTGCAAAAAAAAAAAAAAATAGCAATTGAGGATTCCCAGAATTATATTATATTCAAATAACTAGGGCTCAAAAATAAAACCTGCAGGAAGGATTCTTTAAAAAAAACTGTTTGAATGCAGAATGACTTTATAGAAATATGGGTTACTAGCATTATAGAAAATGAACTCTTTGCTAACTCTCCCTGGTGGAGGGATGACACAGGCTTTAGCATGAGGGTGTCTCACTATACCAGGAAGTCGTGGCACCCAGAAATATCAAGCTTTTTTAAAGAAAAGCACACTGGGGAAACACAAACTGTAACGCTCCCTGCATTGCCTCCTGGTGGCCCCGCATCCCATCAGAAAACACCAGCCCCTGTAGTGGAAACTCTGCAGGTGGAGGCTTTGTCCTACCCAAACCACAGAGCTAAACGGTAAATACAGCGTCTATGGGAAGGGGGAAAATTTCCCAAGAATCTCTGAATTGGTGATATGTACCTATCCTAGCTTTCCATACCTCCACCATAGTGGAAGTCAATGAAAACCTTGGTATCAAAGTAAACAACGAGAAGACTGAGATACAACACTTGGGAAGGGTGCACAAGGATTTTTAACATTATAATAAAGAATCAGAACCTCAAGTAAACAGTCAACTTTGAGAGAAAACCTCAGTATAAAGGAGGGAACCATTTCAGATGTCAGAATGTGGATAGGGATGCAAGGACTACATTCCAGGCACTAGGAGAGGTCTGGTCAGCAAGAGACATAACAACGACAACAAAATCACAAGCCTATGAGACACTTGTCTTGAACTGCCTTCTTTACAACTCCGAAACCTGGACAATGAACCGCTCCACAGAACAGCGGCTGGATGTGTCTGAGATGGTGTGCCTCAGGAGGATTCTAGGCGTCACACGAAGGGATAGGCTGTGCAACCATGACATTAAGAAACATCTCCATCTACAGAAGGAAGTAAACTACAGGATACGGCAATGGCGACTGAGATGCTTTGGCCATGTTATGAGAATGAAAGACGGCAGATACCCAAGACAGCACTGCTTAGAGGAGTGTGCGGGATAAGGCGAAGAGGAAGCCCCTCCCCACAAAAAATGGTGGACATCATAAAGGAAGACAGTGGAACCTTGGTTATGGCAATAACACAAGCATCTAGGACTGCCCAGGACACCACCATAAATGGGCTGCCCATGCTTGCTTAAGCATTGCTGGGCATAAATGATGATAAAGAAGGAATGACCTAGCACTAGACAGATTTAGTGGTGATGCTGGCACAGAATGCTTTCACAGGTCTCTAGCTCCCTAGAAACTGAAAAAGTCTGAAATAAGGTTTCAAAACTCACCAACACAACATGCATATTGTTTTGTAAATAGATCCAAAAGTTCTTACAGAACTATTCTAATTTTTCTAATGATGGAAGTACAATTTACTAGTCTAATAAAGATTATTTGTAAAAAATAAAAACATTTATATGCTAATCTAAAAATATAAAAAAATTTAAAGCAGATCCAGTATTTTAAAACATATTATTCTACTATAATTTATACTATGATATTTGAAAATCTTACCAAAATATGATCTAATGAGCCATCCCAGTTATTTTGAATTTATCACCCACTCATCTCCAAAGGGTTCAGTCACATGGAATCACAGGTCCCTTTGAGAATTTCCCTTAAGGGAAAATAGAAAGGAACACAGAAACAGTGGGTCCCAGATGTGATAGACTGTGTAATATAAGCACAAGATGACTAAGACGACAGAGAATCAGACATTAATGTCAGTGTTCTATAAAGGAATGCAGGTTGTACTATCCATACCAAGTGGTACCTGTCCACTCTGGATTAGCAGAACTATCTATATCCAGTGGTATCTGTCTATACTGGATTGGCAGAAACTATCTATATCCCGTGGTATCTATCTATACTGGATTAGCAGAACTATCTATATCCCGTGGTATCTGTCTATACTGGATTAGCAGAACTATCTATACCCAGTGGTATCTGTCTATACTGGATTAGCAGAACTATCTATATCCCGTGGTATCTGTCTATACTGGATTAGCAGAACTATCCATACCCAGTGGTATCTGTCTATACTGGATTGGCAGAAACTATCTATATTCAGTGGTACCTGTCCATACTGGATTGGCAGGAACTAACAACTAAAATTCCCATGAAGTACAAACCACATCCACAAAGATTACAGAAATGAGCTTCTAGTAAACTAAAAATACAAACTCACTTTTTAAAGTGGAAAATAGTGTTTCTTGTTTTAATTTAACATGTGAACATGACTTTGGGTTAAACTTTACATCGTCTAGTCACCAGGTGAGAAATCCAGTACACAAAGTAGAAGGCTCATCAGTGCGGAACAGCAGCACTGAGCATGATCAGGCAAGAGCACAGCCATTAGCAGATCAACACAGTCCTGGTAAAGGCACCATTTGAGCCTATGAAGAAAATCCTAGGCCAAAAAGCTAATGAACTTCTAAATAGTCATCATATTTAATGTGGTAAAGCTCACATTCAACAACCTATAGAGGTCTAATGCAATGGAAAAATTGTCAATTTGTGTTGCTGAGGGTTTTAAACTAAATCTTTTATAGTGTGTTTAACAAGTAATAAAATGGTACAAAGATTGGTTTAAAAATCAAATGTGAGGGAGCTGGATAGCTGGCTCAGCAGTTAAAAGCACCAGCTCCGCTTCCAGAGGACCCAGGTTCAATTCCCAGCACCCACATAGCAGCTCACATACAGTTTTGCCTTAGACCTGAGACAGTTTCTCTTCCTCCTCCTAACTCCAGTTTCAAGAGATCTGACGCCCTCATACAGATATACATGCAGGCAGAACACAAATGCACATAATAAAAATAAAATCACTTTTAAAAAACCAAATAGAAATATCTATATTAAAGCTGTATAATTTCTGCCTCTCAATTGCTAACAGTGTTTAAAATTATGCAAACAAACATCCAGTAAACATTATTTTATTTTATGACACTCTGCATTAATACAATAAATATACAAAACTTCCAAACCACTGAAAACATGCAACATAAGAGGGACACATGGAGGGCATTTACACAGAACCGTGACAGTCGCCACGAGGGCAGCGCAGTGTTGCTCACCAACAAAGCACACAAACATCCCTAGGAAATAAACCAAGCCCGCATCACAGATCTCCAAACAGCGATTTCCCAGTGTTCAGACCCCAGTTTAAATAAAACAGCCACCATTTAATATCGAAAACTGAAAAGTCACAAGGATCCCTGGTCTACAAGAAGCTCATTTCATGACTGTGGTGCCGGTAACATTGGTATTAAATAGAAACACTAACCGTCTTTCACCAAACAAAGATGCACTATTACCGTTGTTGTTGAGAGAATAGTAAAGCAGGATTTCAAGATGCTTTCGCAGGTGACCCAGCTGCAGACACTACCACCATTTCAAGGCTCCTGTGATTTCAAACAACATAATCTCTTTCAAACTTGTATGAACCCAACAACTGGATTGAACAACAATGTTCATACACAAAAACACAGTATGTTATAACTATTCTTTGCCACTTAATAATGAGAGGAACATTTCCATTTTTGAAGGAAAGTATTTTTTTAAACCTGATGTGTCTTTCATTTGTACTTCAGAGACAAATGAAGTATCTTCAATACTCAGTAAATTTCTAAGCAAATCTAATGTAGCCCATGTGGGTAGATACGTACGCCTTCTTCATGAAGCCCCCGGACTGTGCCCCAGCCAGCATGAAACTCCCTGACTCCAGATTTGGGAAAAAGAATAAAGTGTCTCAATCATTTAAGCCCATTTTTAAAAGTTAGCCTGTCCTGGCAACCCATCCTTGCTTAAAATCAACTTGGATAAATCACAACCTATCATTTTGCAATCTAAAACTAGAAAGACTTCCAAAATAAGGTAGTCTGACTTGTAAATGTTTTTGAGACATCGGCTTGCGCTGCACAGTAACAGTGCCAATGTGATTACATGAGTAATTAACACACTTAACTGTACTTGTACTTTCTTGCTTGGTGTGATGCTTTACACGTATTTAGTCTGTCTCAGAAACTAAATGACAGGTAGATAAGAAATTAAGAAATCAAGTATATTAGAAGTGCTGGGTCTTTTATTTTTAATGCAACTAAAAGAGAAATCCCTTAAATACTGCATGTTCGTTTTATTCAAGGGTTAGGCTAACCTTTAATACCTGTGCCAAAATCGCAAAATCTCTCTCTCTCTCTCTCTCTCTCTCTCTCTCTCTCACACACACACACACACACACACACACACAAAGCTGCCAAACATAATCCCAGTTCAATTAAAAAGATTAGCCAGAAGAATATACCAAAGTTTCCATACAGTAAAATTTTACAGAAAATTGAGAGGGGTAAAGGAATTATCACTATATTCTATTGCACCAATTCACTACCTTCTCTTTTGGATAATGCACTGCACATTATATTAAAATCTTTATACTCCAGTAAATTTTTACTTAAAAGAAACTATTACAGAAAATGGTTTCTGATTCTATAAAGAGCCCCAGCTCCTACCACTATAAGCAGTACAGAACCCAAAATACTAATTCGTTTCACTCAAGAGACATGGTACCCATGCAAGATCTAAGATTGTTATCAAAATATCAACTAGTCTAAAAATAAAATAAGAGATAAAATATACATTATCTACTACAAAGCACACAGGCTCTTCACTGTGACTGAACCTCAGAAAGAAAGCCAATTTAAAAACACCCAAGTCTTTGCTGGCCTTGTTCCTGCAATATTAATATAGAGAAAAAAGAAACAATCATGGTTTCATTTCTAATGTATAACCCTTATCTCTACTGACTCCTGGGAGAACTACTGTGGTTGGTATCGAGTGCCCTTTAAATCTTAAGTCACAAGCTCATTTCAGTGTGTCACCACGGAAATGATCTGAGAACACCATCCCCCAAAAAATATGGAGAATATTTATTTAGCAGATGAGAGTTTTCTTCTGTGAGGGGCGTGGAAATATTAAGAAACTATTAGCAAAGTAATAAGACGAGGAAGTTTCTCTGGTTTTAGACCATGCACACGTGAATAGGAAATACCCATGCTGTGTGTACTGTGTGTTTCCAACATAGAAATATCTGTAGAATACAGTAACTGGAGAAAATACAGTCCCGTGGTAACAGCGCACCCCGGCGAGGCTCTACATCTGGTTACCCTTGAAGGCGTTCTGTGCTGCGCTGGTCGCTGCAGTTGAAGCTGCATTTGCAGCCGCAGTCTGGACAGTTTTGTTGGACATCACTCCTGTTGCAAACTCTTGCTGGGCCTTCTCAAAGCTAGCACCTGTTGTGCGATACAGTCCATGTACCTGCAGAGGCAGAAATCAACGTGACAGGTAAGTGGTAATCTACATATGAGCTGCCGGCGGGCTGAAGGGTAATCTCACCATCTCACAGTGTGCGTGGGAGAAGAAAAGAAGCAGAGAGATGAACAGAGTGGGTTCACGGCAGCAGAGCGCTCTCAAAGACAGCTGCACATTAGGATAACGAGACTCCCTTACACAACAGAGCACTGCCAGGGAACATTTGCTCTCAAACCCCAACTTAACAAGTTAGCAGGACTTAGTCATCACTATTCTAAATCATGTGCTTCCAACTCCACACTCCCCAAATGAAAAGAACATCTGAAGATCAGATATTTCAGTAAGTTTTTTAAAAATTAAAGTACTTAGATAAACTTCATTTTTAAAAATAAACTTGGTTTTTAAAATGAAATAACTTCAAAATTCTTTTGAAACGCAGTCATTAGTAACTAGCATATTAATGTGGACATGAATATTTATGAACAAGTTCCCAGATTCCATAGAAAAGATAATGGAAACCAGGTTCCCAGAAGAATACAAATTGTGTGCTGTCTGTCACTTCAACAGTAATTCCGACTAATTCAGCGGATAAGGAAGGTTCTACACCCTCTGCAACTCCTTCGTGTCTTCCTAACGGACTCCAGACTCCGTTAGAACATCTACCACTGTAGCCCTGAGACACTCTCCAGTGCTTTCTACAGTCCACTGTGGAAACAGAGCATAGAACACAATTAGCAACAATTGACAGGACCAGGTGGTGGTGGCACACAACTTTGATCCCAGCACTAGGGAGGCAGAGGCAGGCAGATCTCAGTTCAGGGCCACCCTGGTCTACAGAGTGAGTTCTAGGACAGCTAGGGCTACACAGAGAAATTCTGACTTGAAAGTATAAGGGAAAAATAGAAGAAGAAACAAACGACCAAACAATGGATGGAAAATGAAACCTACCTGTGAAAGCTAAGGGTTTCTGCCCATGAAACAGTTCAGAAGATATAAATTCTTTCAACACTCCAAATCTGGGCTAAGAAACACCACCATGGCAGAAACCAAGGCACAATGAACATCCAAAACCCAACAATAACCAGCTCTAACTGCGTAAGATTTCAAGAATGAAAACGAGTTCTCAACAGCAGACTCATTTTCATCAAAAGGAATGAAGGGAGGACAAGCCTGGCAAAGCCACTGGTCTAGTCTGGACCGACATACACAGACCTTCTGAGGGCATGCTCCTTCCGGGAAGAGCCTGACCCCTAGTGGTAATAAATTAGGGCTGCATACTCCAACAAGGGCTTTTGTAGGTTTTCTGGTTATTTCTTTTTGATAATTTGTTATTAGTTTTTAAGTCAGTGTTGAAGAATTAGTTGTTCTGAGATCTCACTTTACATCAGAGTTAGAAACAATATGAGGATTGCTGTTTGATTCAAATTATAATTTAGTTTATATTGCCACTTATTACACTTCAGAACATCATACAGAAAATCATTTGTCTGAGCTCCTCACTGCATAGGTAAGAATGAGACAGCACCAACTGATGGTGAACACATAAAAGAGTCAACTATTAATGGATTCAAAAATTAACTAAAACATCAGAATATGCACATAAAGCTGATAAATACTTTTATCTTATTTGGGAAATAAACATTTATTTTGAATGTCTGGCAGGTGAATATGAGCTCCATATGCAACTACCCCTTCATGAAAAACAACAAAAACACAGGGGAAAGGGATGCCTGAGTCGAATTCAGAGCCTGTGCATGACTCTCTGACACAGTCTCTGCGGAATGAGTGTTCCCTCCATGCCCTGCCTCCTATTTTTCTTGTATTGGAGAGTTCTGCCCTTGGCCCTCTTCTGGGTCTGTGCTCATGCGTTCTCTTGGGCTTCACTCACTCCAGAAGCTAAAACGTCCCAGTCTGGATTTCTTTGCTTCTTCTACTTGTCTGTCTAGAAGTCTACCATGCTTATTCATACGTATGTCTACTGCTACTTCCAACTCCCCCATAAAACATGAGATCACTCTGACCTCCACTCCTGCTCTTTTAATTTCATTTTGTGCATGTTGGGGGACACCGGATGGGCCTGGGGTCACACACAGGTGGCTGGGCTCTGCAGTAAGCACTTTTACTCACTGAGCCATCTCACCAGCCCCAAACCTGTTCTTCCTAAATGGCCCATCCCCTAAAACATCCCAACACTTGTCACATCAACCCAATTACTCTACTCCTTCTTTTGGGAGCCACCACTTTGGGGAGAAGATCAAAACTTTTAACAAGATCTCCTAGTTTTCAAGGCCCTAAGGATACTGCTGTGCACACACTCATCTCTACCCTCCACCACGGATCCCTAGCATTCTCTCTGTCTCACCCTCTGCACCAACTTGCTCCCTGGTCCATGCTAGACCTTTTTAAACCCTTGAATTTGCCACATTGTATTCTCACAACTGGTTTCTGCTTGTCCTCTATGCTTTCCCCCCTCTTTCTTATTCCCTTCTGTAGACAATGGTAATGATGGGCAGTCATCATTATATCTCAGCTAAGGCTTTATCTTGACATATTGGCACTTGTATTCCCAGCTACCCTGAGGCTGGGAGGCAGGAGTATGGCTTAAACCCAGAGATTGAGGGTAACTTATATTATACAGCAAGAATTTAATTTTCAAAGCCAAACACTAAAAGAAAAACAAAACTAGACTTCCAAAACTTTGCTATGCATTTCCTAGCTCCCTATACTTCCTTCTGTGACAGCCATGAAATGATTGGACTGCGGTACACATTCTCTTGTTTTCTCTCTTACACCACAATGTGAGCCAAGGGGCTCATACATGGCATGGTGCTTGGCACTGGTCTACACTTGAGAGCTGGTTTTACAAGAAAGAACTGCACAGACTACCACGAAGCCTCTCTTAAGACTGTAAACCATGCATTTCCTGATTTAGACAACCTACCCCAATAGTAAGTGCTTGCCTAGAGAGCATGAAGTGCTGGCTAAAAACTGAGTGGCCCGTGCACACCGAAAGTCCCAGCACTTGGTAGATGCGGCAGAGGCGTAAGCGTTCTTATACATCTGAGACAATAAAGGAACTCTCTCCAGAGAGAGGCGTTGATGTGGCTAGACCATAACTGCCAATCCTTAGCCCAGATGAAGGTATTTTGGAGAGAACACACTGTTAGTTAATAGTTAATATAAGCACAGAACCATCTAGATAGTTTTGTTTTTTAATTTGTATATATTTATTATGTATACAGTGTTCTGTCTGCATGTATGCCTGCAGGCCAGAAGAGGGCACCAGATCTCACTACAGGTGGTTGTGAGCCGCCATGTGGGTGCTGGGAATTGAACTCAGGACCTCTGGAAGAGCAGCCAGTGCTCTTAACTGCTAAGCCATCTCTCTAGCCCTGGTTTTATGTTTTGTTTTGTTTTTGTTTTTCAAGACAGGGTTTCTCTGTAGCTTTGGAGCCTGTCCTGGAACTAGCTCTTGTAGACCAGGTTGGCCTCGAACTCACAGAGATCTGCCTGCCTCTACCTCCCAAGTGCTAGAATTAAAGGCATGCACCACCACCTTCTGGCCCTAGATGGTCTTTATCTGACAAGACCACAGAAAGGCAGGGAATAGGGTTGGGGAGAGGGATGTTCTGAGTGCTTGCTGCTCTTTCAAAGAACCAGAGTGGGGTTCCCAGCATCCATGCTGGACAGCTCCAGAGGACCTGATGCCGGCCACTGGTCTCTACATGTAACCCCCACCTACCCCACACATTTTTTTTTAAGTAGGCAACAAGAACAGAGTCAAGCTTCCTCTAAGGAAGGAGATCTGGCCTGTGGCATGGGGCTACGGCCCCCTTCTGCAGCTCTAGCCTGCCCCTCTCAGGCTAGTTAATTTTTACTGTCAACTTCCCACAACCTGGGAAGAGGTTTAAACCTCAATGGAAAAAAAAATCGCCAAGATAAGACTGGCCTGCAACCATATCTGTAAGATACTATGTTGACTGATGATTGATACGGAGCAGCCCAGCCCACTGTGGGCGGCACTGTCCCTAGGCAGGTGGCCCTGGGTTATGAGAAATCTAGCTCATGACCCAGAAAGCAGCACTCCTCTGTAACAGTGCCTCTCCCCCATCCAAGTGTGCAACTCTTTAATACAGTTTCTCATGCTGTGGTGACCCCAACCATAACATCATTTCATTACTACTTCATAATTCTAATTTTGCTACTTTATGAACTGCAGTGCAAATATCTGATATGCAAGATGTCTGACATGTGACCACAAAGGGGTCCCGACCCACGGGCTGAGAACTGCTGCTCTGGTTTCTGCTCAAGTCCCTGCCCAGATTTCCCTAGTGGTGGACTGTGATCTGGAAGTGCAAGCTGAAATAAGCCCCTTCTTCCCTGAGTTGCTTTGATCAGGGTGCTATTGTGGCAATGGAAAAGCAAACTCAAACCCCTTCTAAGAGTTTATCCTACACATGTGGACTCACTCCAGCAACTCTCACGACTAAACATGCCAAATATTTGCCATCAGTCTCCTCATTCTGCTCTGTTTCTCTGAAGGACTAAACAAAACAAAAAACAAACAAACAACAACAAAAAAGCAAACCCTAAATCAGGCTCTCAATATTAAAGAGGTCAAGATTAAAAATTAAAAACTATATTAATTGTGGAGGATTCTTGCAATTTACACTCATTTTATCTTCATACCAAAAATGTAAAAGTTATTACTCCCATTTCTTCTTTCATTCAAAAAGTATTTCCATGCCCATCACACACTAACCGTGCCTGTTACTGCTCGGGGTGAGGACACAGATGAAAGCACACAGGCCCCTGGTGCGAGCACAGACACTGAGCCTGGTGGTTAGAGAACCCTGTTTGGGGCACAGCGGTAAGGCAAGGTATTCGTTTCAAGATGAGTTGCATGTACAAAGCCAGGTCCCTGGCCCTCTTCTTGGGTGAGGCTTACCAAACTGGACATCATGTGAACCATGGAGCCTAATACCGGCATATACCCTAGGCCCATGAGATCCTACGGAGAACCACAGAAAACAAAGAACTACCCCCAGACACATGGAGGTAACAAGAAAGACTGAGCAGGAGCGTCTGAGCAAAGGCTGGAAAAGCACTGCTAGGCCTCAAGCGGCAGAAAGGTGAACACGCACTACTGTGTGATGTTTCTCTTTTGGCCCAATCCAGCTCCCAAATAAACCCCACACAGAGGCTTGTTCTTAGTTATGGATGTCCAGCCTTCGCTTGTTTCTAGCCAGCTCTTCTTATCGTAAATTAACCCATCTACCCTTTCCCTCTGGGCTTTTATCCTTCTTACTTCTGCATATCTTCCCTTCTTTCTTAGGCCGTGACTGGCTGGGTGGCTGGCCCGTGATGTCCTCTTCTCCTTGCTCTATCATTGCTTGCTCCTTGCTCTCCTCATTCTGGGTGCTCCTTCTATTTATACTCTGCCTGTCAGCCCCGCTTATCCTTGCTCCTGCCTCGCTATTGGCCGTTCATCTCTTTATTAGGACCATCAAGTGTTTTAGACAAGCACAGTAACACAGCTTCATTCCCCAACAAAGCACAGCATAGCAAAGTGAGGGGAAATAACAGGCAGAACAATCTGAAGGAATACAAGCCCGGCCCACACCTCAGCCCCGGTCCACACAAGCACTCTCCAAATGGCAGGTTGTGGCGCCACGGCTGCTGCTGCTGTCATTAGATTAATGCAGAGAGCATACCAAATGAGCCGAAGTCAGGGAGGAGCGGGTGAACTATAAAAACTTTCCAGATTGTCAGAGGTTAGGAATGAAAGTAAAAGACAGAAAAAACAAACAACAACAGCAAAAAAAAAAAAAATGTCATTGTTCTCAAAAGGCAACCAAAAGTACAATAAAAGACAAGACACCTTCAGAAATCATGGAAACTGTCTAAAGTGCCTTCCCTATCCCAGGCCCAGGTGTATGCTCTAAGAGTGTCTTTATAAACAGCTTCATTGATATAAAATGGATATTCCATCATGTACCCATGTAGACTATGAAATTCCTAGTCAGCCGTTCATGTGTTGAAGATGGAAAGAATGACAGAGATGAAATGCCTAAGGAGGCAGTACACACATCAGGACAGAGTATTCACACTGATCTTCACTGGCTGGACAGAGAAAACAGGGAGTGCGTAGCCCCAGCAGGACCTGATCACAGAGTCCTGGGGAGACTCTTGTGTGACAGAGACCGCAGTGGTGCAGGATGGAAAAAAAGGGCTAGAGGAATTAGGACTGCGCAGAGTCAAGTTTCAGTGGTCCCAGTGTGTGGTGCAAAAGTTCAAAGCTTCTAAGAGGAAAGCGGCAGCAAACTCAGGAACTAGGACAGAGATGAGCCGGGCCTGCACAGGCTCCTAGAGAGTGGGACCCGAGCAGGCAAAAAGCAGATGTCAAGTGAAAGCACTCTTCAGTAGACTGACCAAAGCAGTTATTTCTCTTTTCCTTTCTTTTCTTTTCTTTTTTTGGCTGTTCAAGACAGGGCTTTTCTCTGTAGCCTTGGCTGTCTTGGAACTACCTCTGTAGACCAGGCTAGCCTTGAACTCATAGAGACCTGCCTGCCTCTGCCTCCCTGGTGCTGGGATTAAGGCCACTGCCTGGCCCAAAGTTATTTCAATAAGCATTATCTGTACATGTTCTGAAACTACCAGGTAGTATAAAGAAAATGGTGAAAGAAATCTAAGGTTTTTACCCTTTCTGGATGAAGGGTGGAGGGGGACAGAGAAGAGGGAGGGGTGTGGGAACTGGGATTGATATGTAAAATTTCAAATAAATAATCATTTTAAAAAGATAAAAAGAAAGAAATCGAAGGCTTAAATAATTTAGTGCCTTTAAATTTTAAATATGGACAAAAATATCTACTTGGTCCAATAATTTTATTTGTATTTATTCATCAAGCTAATAAGCTTCATATTAAAAAAAGAGGCCCATAAAGTCCCCATTTTACAACTGAACCTGAGGCTTTTCTTAATGATGAAGCTTCCATTGACTGTATTGAAAAGTGCACACCCAGGAGTTTCATCTGCAATGCTTGGCACCATCGAGGTTTCTGAGTTCTGAATACTGAATGCATATCATGAGATGCCCTTGGATGGGACTCAAGTCTAAATGTGAAGCTCATTTTTAATACATACTGTATACATATACATCTGTATAGTTTATACAATATTTTAATGTGTTTGCCTTCTGTAACTATAATCTCTCCTGTGAGGTCAGGTAGGGAATTTTCCTAATATAGAAAATTCAAAAAAAAAATACCAAGTCCATGCTCAAAAAGTTTCTTATTGTTGAGTATTTTGGGTTCTGAATTTTCAGATCAGAGATGTTTTCACTTTTTATGTCAATCTTAAAATATGATACAATGTTTAAATATGTTTATATATAACCATAAATCTAGTCTCAGAGAGCAAGCATGCAGAAGCCCAGAAGTGAGCCAGGGTTCCACTGGTCTACCAGCAGCGTGGGCTGGCGCAGCCGACACCAGGGTCGGGGTACCATGTCTAGGTCCCACTTACTTTTTTAAACATGACGAGTGAGATGACTGCAGAGGCTGTGAACAGAGCTGCGATGATTATCATCATGATTCCAACTGGGATGTTCTTGTTGAGCCCAGTAAGGGAAGAAATCCAACCGCTATGGAACAGGAAAACGAGATTAGGGAAATGAGCTAATGTGCCTCTCAAAACAACAGCAGGGACACAGGGCAGCTTTCATGGGATCACGTCCTCGGGCTCCCGCAGGACGCTGCTTATTCCACAGATAAGGGACGACATCAGACCTCCAGGGCCAGGTCACACACCTGAGAAGGATCAGCCTGGACTCACCGGCAAACCACACTCCTGAGCCCCAAGAGGGGCGTGAAGGCCAAATCGCTTACAACTGCTGGAGGAAATACAAAATAGCACATCCACTCTAGAAAGTTTGTTAATTTCTTTTAAAAAATTAATACATGATTTCTAAATGAATTAACAAATTATAGTGTTAACCACAGAAATGAAAACTATGTGTCCATGAAAACCTGGCACCAAATGCTCTAACAGCTTCCAAACAGAAACAAGTTAGGCATCCTTCAACTGATAGGTGGTTGAGCAAACTGTGGTATATTCGTATCATGGACTATTGCTTAAAAATAAAAAGATGGTGTTTGAGAGACAGCTCAGTGATCAAGAGCACTGGTTTTTCTTCCAGAGGGCCTGGGATCAATTCCCAGCACTTTCATGGGAGCTCACCTCTGTTAACTCCAATCTCAAGAGTCTGATGCCCTCTTCTGGCCTCCAGGGGCATTGCATGCACATGATGCAGAGACACAGACTCAGGCAAACATTCACACACATAAAATTTTAAAATACATAAAAATCTTTAAAAAATAATTAATTAAAAAGAAATTAGGGCTACATGTAGCTGAGGGGGAAAGCCAGTATTTGTAGACTACATGATTCCATTTATATACTATCTTACAATGACAGAATAACAGAAGTGACAAATAGCTTAGGAGAAGCCTGGGGTGAAGGAGTGGGGACAGGAGAGCAGTAAGTGTGGCCATGCAAAAAGCAACATGAATCTTTCAGTGATGGAAATGTTCCGTCAATGTTAAGGTCCTTGTTTTTATATATTTACTGTATTTTATACTATTGGGGACACTGGGTGAAGGACACCTACAGTCTTGCCGCAGGACTATCTACAACTACCTTCATTTTAATTGACAAAAATACCCAAATTATGTAAGGTTCATCTGAAAACAGTATTTGTCCCCATTAGTAGACTCTGGTATGTAGGCGCTGACTGCTACATTCAACTTTACATCCCTTCCTATGTTTATATTAAGAAGCTGGTAAAATTAGTTCAACTTCTAAAGAATTGTGTGTGTGTGTGTGTGTGTGTGTGTATGTATGTATGTATGTATGTATGTATACATACACCATTATAGCAGTGCATTTTTAAAACATTTAAAGCATGTCCTCTCTTTCACATGCCAGACTAACCACTATCTAAAATAATAATGAAAATAGCTTTCCCAAGAACTAACTTAACAACCAGTTCATTCTCTGTTAGTGCATCTGCCAGGAGCAGTCTGTTAGCAGCCACTGCCATCAGAGGCAGTGTACTAATTCACGTGCTCATATACTCTAGTTCTATGCTCACTGCAACTACAGTTAATGGACACAAGGCAAACAGCAGTACCATGGGTGCCTGTGCGTGCCTGTGTGTGCAGAAGCTAGAAGGAAGGCAGTTCACACAAGGAAGGACTGGAGAGGCGAGGATTTTAAAGACACGTCCTCTTCTACCCACCATCTCATGCGGGATGTTCCCTCCATGGAAAAAGAAAACTACATAGGTCTGTATTACCTTCTAGTCCAAACCCCAGATGTCTTCTACTTCCTGAGAGAGCATCCTACCATGGTGAGAATAATTTTACTGTTGGACAGTGTGTGTACCTGTACATACATTCTCTCTCAAGCATGTCCAAACACAAGTATCCGTGTGCATGTATGTGTGTAAAACAATGCTTTACACTTAACTTGGACACTTTTCCTTTAGATTCTTTTTCTTGTTTTTAGGGTTTTTGTTTTGTTTTTTGTTTTTTCGAGACAGAGTTTCTCTGTAGCTTTGGAGTCTGTCCTAAAACTAGGTCTTGTAGACCAGGCTGACCTCAAACTCACAGAGATTCACCTGCCTCTGCCTCCCAAGTGCTGGGATTAAAGGCGTGCGCCACCACTGCCTTGCTCTTCAGATTCTTGAAGCTCTTCTCTCCAGTACTGATCCTGCCACCTTCTCTCTGATCTCTTTGGTCTCCTCTACACAATTCCTTCCAGTGCCCACTGTGCACACATTTTATTTAAAATAGATACCAATTGTGCTGATTTTTTTAAATGGGAATACAATCTTTGAAGAGAATAGATTTTCCAAAGCTATGTTTTAGAATGCTTTCAAATTGATTTTTTTAGAGCAGTTTTGTTTTTCTGTGTTTGCTTTTGCCATTCTGATTTTTCTATGTTTAGCTCACTAGAACACCAAATTTGTTACACAAATTTTAAATTAGCAACTGAACAGTAGTAAATAACTCACCAGTTTCCCCAGTTATGGAATCCTGCGGCCTGGAGCACATGGACAGCAAACTGACAAATATACACGAAGAAGAAGACAAAGAACCTGAAGGAACTGTCACTCCTTTAAAAGAGAAGGGGAGAACGTCACTCTTCACACCACCTTCCTGTCCACAGCAGACTAACATCTAACCTTAAGGGCGCAAGCAGGTGAAGACCCACAGCGGCATGTCTGTACCCGTCTGCAGACAGCCATCACTGTCCCGTGAAGACCCACAGTGGCAGGTCTGCCCCAGTCTGCAGACAGCCATCACTAACCCCAGTTCACTGTTCAACTTCCAGCTGCAACAGAATTCATCTTGAGAGAAAGTTCAGTTTTCCATTTTTAAGAAATGTTTTCATTGGTTTTTGTGTGTATGTCTGTGCACCGTGTGTGTGCAGTGTCTTTGGAAGCCAGGAAAGAGGACCAGATCCCCTGGGACTCATGTAACAAATGGTTGTGAGTCACCATTTGGGAGCTAGAAATCAAACCTGGGCCCCATGAAGATCAGTGCTCTTAGCTAGTGAACCATCTCTTTCAGGCCCCAGTTTTCCTTTCTTAATGAACTACTTTGTAGGATTATCAAAACTACTTAGAATGTATGTGTGTATTTGGACTTTACCCTTTGACACCGAGAACTTACCTTAAGCTTCCTTTCCTCTCCTCCCTCCTTCACCCCAGTTTCTTGCCATCCTGGCTTGCTGCTTTGAGAATGTATAACAAATGGGACACAGCCCATACTGTCTGCCCTGCTTCCTTCAGCAGCTGTGCAGTCGCCTGTGTGTGGGACTGCAGCTTCTCCACTGCTGAGTGCTGTTTACTGCTGCTGGGCAGGATGCTGCTCCTGGCGTTTGTTATTAAAGTCACACACCTGTGAGTCTTCATAAGGACAGACTTCTTTTTAAGGTGGGTAAATATCTATCAGAGAAATGGCTAGTGTGTGTGGTAAATATACATTTAAGTGTTTAAGAAACTGCTCAACTGTTTATAAAGTTGCTCATTTTACACTCCTACTGGTAGCGAGTAAGTCTTTCAGGTCCTCTGCATGACACTTGCCATGGTCATGTTTACGGTCCTAGCCATTCTAATTCACACGTGTGGCTGGGCCAGTTATCTTATTGTTAACTGGACTGGGCTGATGGACATCTAGGAGAGATTAATAAAACAGACTTCCGAGGCATTTCTAAAGAAATTAGATGGTGAGGGCTCTGGCCTAATGAACACTTTACGCCAATGCTGGATTAAAAATCTGAGTGGACTGTTGGAGGATGGCAGACTGGGGGTGAGGCGTGGCTGGAGGAAGTAGGTCACTGGGGCATGGCGAAGGACTTAGCCTGCCTTTCCTGTTTCTGCTTCACTCTGCTTCCTGGCTCCCTCACGCCTACCATCATGGACCCGAGCTGCTGGAACCACAAGCACAATAACCCTTTTTCTTCAGCCGCTGTCTGGCACTTTGTTATAGCAACAAGAAAGCTAACACGAGTGTCTCACTTTACACACTCTGAGCCGGAATGCCATTCAGAGACTTGTTATTTTACCCACAGAACTTCATTCAACTATTAAAATCTTGTTCCGGTGTTTTAACTAGGCTTACCCTCTTCTTCTTGAATTTTGAGAGTTTAAAATACATATATTCTGGATAGACAAGTCCTTACTGCAATACATGCTTGGCAAAGATCTTACAGTCTGGGGCTTGTCTTTCCAATCTGTGCATATTAGAATATAAAAGCATGTGTGTTCAGAGCATCATAAAGGTGTCTTCTCAATCTGCACATGTATGTATATGTATATGAACACATGTGCATTCAAGCATCCTAACAGTGTCGTTCCTATCTGTGCACATAAGAGTGCCCTCTAGGAAAAAGTTTGGTCTTTTTATGAATTCTAGTTTGTATATTTAATTTTATTTTAGTATTGAATTAGAACAAACAAATAAGAAACCACTTCACCTAAGTCAAAAATATGAAGACCTTCTCTGTCTCCTCCACTAAGTTCCTTAGCTTGTAGCTCTGTACCTGTGCCCATGCTCTATGAACTAACTCTCTGTATAAGGTATGGGACAGTCAAGTGTCCCAGCAAGGGCTCCTAAACAGCCTGTCTGAGCCACACTGCCTTCATATCTTTCTCAAACATCAGATGCCTGGTCACTGCCCTTGTAGGGATAGCTCACAACCATGCATGATTCCAGTTCCGAGAGAACCAATGCTCTCCTCTGGCCTCTGCTAGCAGTGCAAGCACATGGAACACATACATACACACACATTCACATACACACACAAATAAAAGTAAATAACCTGATTTTCTTAAATTTGTTTTTATGGGGCTGGAGAGATGGCTCAGAGGTTAAGACCACTGGTTGCTTTTCCAGAGGTCATGAGTTCAGTTCCAGCACCCACGTGGTGACTCACAGCCATCTATAGTGGGATGTGATGCTCTCTTCTGGCATAAAGTGTACACGCAGATGGAGCACTCAAATACATAAATAAATCATAAAAATATTTAAATTTTTTTTACATATGGTAGGTTCATTTTAATTTGAAGGATGTTGGTTTGTTTTATGCTACAGGAGCGTGGATGGCACAAAGCTATCACGCTGTGGTTACACAACTTCCTTGGAAGTCTAACCAAGGTGTATCCGTCTGTATCAGTGGGCCAACTTTATTGTTCCTGTGTAGACTTGCTTCCAATATTCTAATATTCCAATATTTCCATCCATCCCTGGAAGAACCATGTCATATTTCTGGAAAAAAAGCCTGCTGGGATTTTGATTGGGGTTATATTTCAGCCCTGCATTATCAGTCTGAGAAAGTTCACACTTTCTCAAAGTTCACACTGAGTCTTCTAATCCATCTACAGAGATGATTATGGATCTATAGACAGAGTTTAGCTTCTTTTCAGATCTGGATACCTTTTGTTTCTTTTCCTTATCTCACTGTACCAGTGAGAACTCCTCACACAAGTCTGAACAGGAGTGTGGCGAATGGACGTCTTCCCACATCCTGACCCCAGCAGGAAGCTCTCGGCTCCGGCAGGGCACAGCTGGAGCACTGGGAGCTACAGTTTCCAGCTCTACACGTCCTTTCTGCTTGAAGAATCCGCTCCTCTACTCCAAGTTAACTCACTCTTTCTAACATAAAGAGACTTTGAATTCTGTCGAGCATTTTTTACTATACTAGTTAAGATGGTCATAGTAATATTAAATTTAGATTAGAATGTGGTGAACTACCCCTAACTTTCTAACATAAACCAACCTTGTGAGTTGGGTGCTGTGGCACATATCTGTAAACTAGTACTCAGGAGGCTGAAGCAAGAGGATGTCAAATTCAAGGCCAGCCTGGGGCCACATGGTAAGTCTCTCACAAAAAGGAAAATAGCACTTTTGGAAGAAACTCTGACTTGCCACTGTTTCTAAGTGCCCTAAATTTATCACAGTTCTGCTCAGCAGTCATTCTCCAAGACCCGTATCATCTGACTTGCTAAAAACTCAGTCCCAAACTGTTCAGCAGAGAGGAAAATCATTGATGGGAGTAAATCCCTTCAATTCCTACAGCCCTCCTCCTCCACAGGATCCATCAGCCTCCCACCTGCCTCTGGAAAGACAATATCCGTCCCCTGGAGATGAAGCACCCTGCATCCTCCGGCCCACCCACCTAAGTCCTGCTTCTCCTCTGCCCTGATGAGTCTTCCTCCTGCAGCAAGGTCTTCACATGTATGTACACACACATCACACATATATCACACATATATCACACATATCACACATTCTTCTCGTCCATTCCTCAGAAAGAATGCTTCAGGTTGGTGTTTTCTCTTCTGCCACAGGGGCTGCTTTAATGGCTGCTGGCGTTCTCAGTGATCAGTCTTAAGACAAGGGACTGAGCAAGGCCTTGCCACTCAAAGAAATGAGAGTTCCTGTTTTCAACAGTGCCCTGGCTTCAGAATCTCAGCTTGTTCAGAATGCTGGGAAGATCTGGGTGAGCCACGTGCTTCAGGAAGACTTTGAAGTCATTTCCCGTCTTCAGTTCTAGCTGCATCGCCTTGCGGCTGCAGCTCATGCTTCAGTCAGCCTGGGGGAGTCTCTAAGGACACTCCCTGAGAAGCCACAGAGTATGGCCTCTACTTTTTCCATTGCTAACTTGAGCTTCAGTTTCTATCAGATCAGTTACTGCTCCCATGCCCAGAGCTGGTTTCGTTGTTACTTGTTCTACAGATGAAGCGAGGGCCTTGTAGGTCGACCCTGTGGGTTTCTATCTGACCTCCCAACAGAAATAAATATGTCCTCTCTCACATGCGTGAGCACACACAGAGTACAAAGCACTAGTCCTTGATAATCTTAAGACTCTACAATCTTCTTAAAGGTCATTTAGACCAGCGTTGTCAACACATTCCTTCAGATTAGAGGCTCAGAGCGTCTGTGTGTTCCTACCTTATTATCATGTTGTTATTTTCCAGGGGCCCATGTACTTCAGAGACCCCCAAACTTATATTGGAATATTTAGTAGTGCTGTTTATCTCTTGAATAACTGTACAATTAATGTATTTGGTGTTATTGCAAAGTTCTAAGCCAGCTGGTGGGCAAAAGGAATCATGCTGCTCCAGTGGGCAACATACTGGCCAGAAATAAAGAGGACTGTGTTAGGACTTCTTGGCAGAGCATGTATTAGGGCACGAGAGTAACAAGATGGCTTATAGGTTAGAGCAGCTGGAGCAGAGGGTAGGATACACCAGCAGTCCTCCTGTCCATCCTCCATGGAGAAATGCATTAGCCACAGCACAGTACTGGGACATTTTTCTCAAACCTTAGAAAATCATATTGGGTCCTGTCCTGTAAAGATGTTTTACAATATCAGAGGATATGGAATACAGGAAATAACCGGAAACTAAGAAGCAGTCTAAGCCAGAGACAGGACAGAAATTAAGCAACTACCACAGTGGCAACCAGGAGCAATGAGTGCTTTAAAAAGGATCTGTAAACTGGGGTGATGGCTCATGCCTTTAATCCCAGCACACGGGAGGCAGTGGCAGACAGATCTCCTGAGTTCAAGGACATCCTAGTCTACAAAGATTCAAGGACAACCAGGACTGTTAACAGGGAAAAAAAATCTGTTCTCAAAAGCCCAACAAACAAACAAGCAAAAAGGATCTTCAAACTCAGAAGCAGGAAAAAAAAATAAGGGCAGAAATTTGGCTTAAAAATTCAAAGATTTTTTGTGATTTAAGAGTTGTGTAGAAGGGGCTGGAGAGGTGGTTCAGCAGTTGAGAACACAAGGACACAAGGTGCTGTTTCAGAGAACCCGGGCTCAATTCATAGCACCTATAGGGCAGCTCACAACTGTAATTCAGCTCCAAGTGACCTGACACCTCACACAGACACACACACTGTCAAAACACCCATGCACATAAAGTAAAAATAAATATTAAAAAAGTTATGTAAGGAAGGGAGAGGTGTGTGTAAGAAGCCAGTGAGAAGTGCGAAGTAGAGGAGTGACTCTCTTCGAAGGGAGGAGGGAGGTGGAAGGGAGAGGTGAGTACTGAGCAGCAAACAGAACAACGAGGCAGTCCTGCTCAACCCATCGATGTGCTTTTCAGTCTGTACTTTAAAACTAGTTTGAGTCTCTGTAAAGTTATATATATGCACTAGTTGAAAGTCATATAATGGTGCAGGGGAACTCTGCAAAACAGCTGTCTCCTGGCCTTGTCACAGCTCTGCACAGCTGCAGTCCCAGACACCACCAAACTTCACTCAGGTCCCTTTGGCGACCACACCCTACCTAGCTTACCCAGCTGCTTCCTAAGATTGCTGGAACGTGACGAGGGCTACCATCCCAGTAAATGGAGAACCAGCTTTCAAGTCTTTCCAGTTTCTGCCTCCACCCCAACAGTCTAGTCCACATAACCTTGGGACTAACAGTAGTACAGCTCACTTATTAGGCCTGGGAGTTCCTCAATAGGACCTACTATTCCCAGCCGAGGCACAGTGCTGTGCTGTAACGGGGTTGCTGGAGGTTCCTGAACAGGACACACAATTCACAGATGTTTCCTGTGCTCCATTGTTCCATTCCTCTTTCCCTGGAGTTAGAAATTACCTTCTGTTGATGGCTTTTATACATAGCTATCAATACTTGACCACTAATTCTCTCCTGAAAGTATATAAAATCTTTTTAACCGATTTAAGTTAATTCTGCCAACCTTATCCCCAAGGAACTTTCTCCTAAAACCTAACCAGCTGTCTTAGGGTTTCTACTGCTGTGCAGAGACACCATGACCACAGCAACTCCTATAAGGAAAACATGTGATTGGAATGTCCAGTTTCAGAGGTTCCGTCCACTAGCATCATGGTGGGAAGCATGGTGGTGTGCAGGCAGACAGGGTGCCAGCTGCATCTTGATCAGCAGGAGACTGTGACACTGAGCGAGGCTTAAGCAAAGAGCCCCCAGAGCCCGCCCCACAGGGACAGCTTCCTTCAGCACGGCCACGCCTCCCATAGTGCTGCTCCCTGTGAGCTCTTCAGGGGGGCGGTTAAAGTAAAACTATCACACCAACTTCGACTTGAACTTCTGGAGCCGGGATGCAGGGAACCAGCTCACATGAATGCAATGCTCCACTGTCCTCTGGTGCCCTGTACTGCACTGATGTCATCCTGATGGTTTGAAAATAAGTTCAGGAAGTTTCCTACTTTATAGAAGAAAAAAACAAAAGGATAGAAAAAGAGAGGAAAAATCGATTTCTCTCTTATTATGTTAGCAAGAGTTTCATTTAAAAGATTAGAAACAAAGCAGAAAAAATAATCAAAGATTGATACAATTAACTTTCTCAGAACCTAAGGACCTAAGACTACACCTGGGCAGTGCATTTCAAGTAAGACACGCCATGAACATGAGCTCCTGGCTGCAGAGACTAATGTGGCCAAAGGAGGAAGCGGGAGAATGGAAAGTTGGTTTCACTATAAAGGCAGTTATGACCAGTTTAGAATAAAGGGAAGACAATCACATGACCATGTCAACAGACACAGAAACGCAACAGACACAAAAATGCCATTCATGATAAAAATAGAGCAGAGTCCTCAAATCAACAATGGGTATCTACAAAAGAAGTCTGTAGCTTACTTCATAGTTGATGCTGAGTCCTTCCCCAATACCTGAAACAAGACAGGGCCACCACCCCACCTTCACCTTCACTATCCTAGAAACTGCAGCCAGTTACTAAGGCAACAGGAAGAAAGAAGCAAGACAGATGGTAAAAGATAATCCATTGTAGGAAATGAGAGAAACTATATTGCACAGGGTGATCGGAATGCTGGGTTCAGAGATGCTGCTACTCACTCCATCCCCCCTAGCAGCTGGGATGAAGGTATGTACCATCTGCCCTGGTCCTGTGTTCTCTTCTTAAAGCCATACTCACAAGGGGCCCCACAGAAAAGAATAGCTTCATGGTCACATCACAAGGCACACTAAGCACTTAGAGTCTAAAATGAAGGAGTTTGCCTAACTTCATTAACTAGCTATTCTAAAATTAAGCTACTGAACATTTTCCCCAATACCAATTAACACCCCACAGAACATTCATCTAGAAAGTGCATTACCTATTATATTTATTTTTTTCATTTTTTAAAAATTTATTTATTTATTTATTTGTTTATCAAAAATTTCCACCTCCTCCCCGCCTTCCTTTTCCCTCCCCCTCCCCATCTCCCCTTCCCTCTCTAGTCCTAAGAGCAGTCAGGGTTCCCTGCCCCGTGGGAAGTCCAGGGTCCTCCCCCCTCCATCCAGGTCTATAAATGTGAGCATCTAAACAAACCAGGCTCCCACACTTATTATATCTAAATAGTGATTAATACAATATAAAATAGTATTCTTCATTTTATAGCCTGAATAGGCTTTTAAATGTCACTGTCTTTGGAAAAACTAAAGATGAATATACACAGAAGGGGTCACCACACTGCTGAGTAAGTTTCACATGTGCGCACCTTACCGAGGTTTATCATAGAACAAAGGCTGTGGCCACCAGCCATACAATTCATAACAGCTGAGCCATGTGGGAGAGAGAGGAGTGAACAGCCAAGGTTTCCTAAGGTCAGGTATGATGCGTGACATAAAATGTTACATGTTAAAATTTAAGAATGTTTATTTTCTTCTATCAACTTTTCTGTTTGATTTTCAAGGAAAACAATGTTTATGAATTTTATGATCCAACAAATATATAGGCAAGCTATATTAGACTTTTCAGAAAGTATGGTATAATAAAATTTTTAATTTTGTATTATATTCATATTTATTTTACTGGGGAAAGGGATGTGCCTGGCATGGTGTCCATGGGGAGGTCAGAGAACAACTCACAGGAATCAGTCCCCTCCTACTACCACACAGGACCTGGGGATTGAACTCAGGACACCATGTTTGGCAGCAAGCACCTTTATTGACTGAGCCATGTCATGGATTTAAAAAAAAAAAAATGTAATGAAACTACACCAACTTTGCCACTGGGGTATGATATAGATTATTCATTTTATGTGGCAGGGTCTTGCTCTGTGGCCCCAGCCTAATACAAACTATGTAGCTGGCCTAGAGCAATCCTCCTACATCAGCATCCTGGGTGCTGAGACTCCAGGAGTGAGCCACCATCCACACACTTCACAGGTTTTAAGCACATATATTAAACATGCACACTTTACCTGAAAGCTCCGTACAGCGGTCTGTACCAACAGACAAATGAACAGGGAGTAAAAAGCAAGAACCACAGGATACTCAGTCCAAAGTCAACTGCTCTTGAAGAATCAACACAGAACCAAGCCAGGCATCCAAAGATGTTTAGGAACAGAGTTACAGCGTGGACTGTGGGATCAGAAGACAGAACCGGTGGTTTGTTCGCGTAACCATCCAACAAGAGTTCCAACTAAAAACACTTCCTAAGAGCATACATTCTTCCCATCTTCCCATGGTAAGGTCTTCAAATATGGATGCTTCTTACACAGGATTTGAAAGCACAGTGCACACAGCAGTGTATTTCAGGCAAAAATCCTGTGGGCTATCCCCTCCTCCTAGGCAGCTGCATGTCTAAGCCAAACCCAAAGGTTTGCTTTCCTGACAAGAAAAAAAGACTGAGAATTTCTTGACCCAGGGCCCAAGAAGAGAAGAAATGTTTGTTAAAGACAAAAGCAAACAAACAAAATCCCATAGGTAGGGTACCCAGAACACTATTCTTAAGAAGGGAACTACAGACAAGAACTGGGTTACAATTAATATACAGAAGCAAGTCTTGTGACTGTGGGGGTCTGTGAGGATGACTTCATCTTCAGAAGTGAGCTGCTTTTTTTTAACAGGGGGAATAGCTTGATTCAGATTATTCCTTCCACTCTACAGAGGCCACACGATGGTCGTGCCAGGGGCAGGATGTCTCCATGCTGCCGGCATGCTGCTCTCCCTAACCTGAGTAACACCAAGAAACACTGTAATCCTAAAGAACCACACTTACCAGTTATAACTTTTGCTTACATTTATTTTTATTTTATGTGTTTGGATGTCTTCCTGCAAGTATATGTATGCACCATGTACATGCAGGGGCTGTGGAGGCCAGAAGAGGGCACTGCACTGAGGCCAGAGATGCTGTGAGCCTCGTGTGGGTGCTGAGAACCAGTCCAAGGTACTAGGGTACTCTGCAAGAGCAACAAGGCTCCTAATCCTGATCCATCTCTCCAGACCCCTACAGTTTCAACTTTTTAAAGTGATTTTGTAAAAATGTATTCATGGGTAGAATTTTATTATGAGAATAAATTCCCATAAAATTAAAATACTGTAAAATGTATATTATCAATAAAAATGTCAACCAACTATGACTTAGATTTTAAAAATTAAAAGATTATTAAATCTACTACAAACTCAATATGCATCAAAAATTAATTTTATAATCCCTTTACAAATCATAATCAAAAATTTAGGGAACAGGATAAAACTACCCCGTCTGAGTACTCTGATGTGTTCTCATCTAAACAGTAAATAAATCAACTATGGAGAAACAGCTCCAGAGCCTGAATGTAAATCTGCTATAGCCTTTAAGGGCTTTTATTTAAAACCCCATTCTTCTGTATCACAAAAAGGAAAACTGTACCAATTACTCAATTACTACCGGGAGTTTTAACCCTCAGGAAAGCTGGCTTACTAATGAAATGACTCAAAATCCTTTTTCCTCAAAATAAAGACTTTTCTTCAAAATAAAGGCTTAAAAACAGAACTAAAATTTCTGTGAAATGGGAAATTATTTTGTAGTTCTAAAGGACTCTGGCTGTCTTAAGTTCGGTTGTGTGCGCACATGTGTGTGTTTTAATGTAAGCACATTAAAAAGAATAATTTTTAAAGTTTATTTTCTATTTCACTTACAGAAAATGAGGGGCATGTATAGATCTATATAAATGTTTTAAAAATCTATAAAAATTCTTCAAAGTACAGAAAGTACCAACCTAACTTTTTGTAATATGTTACTTTTTTCCTAGATGTTTTTAAAGTAACCATGATCAGTGAATCTTGCACTCAATAAAAGCCAGCCTGTCTTGGGTACCTGGTGATGAAGCTGTCCACCTGAGCAGGGCACAGTAAGTAGGCAAAGGCTATGGACTCTGCCATCTGTGTGTTAATTTCAGTGTGTCTATACCGGTGGATGCTGACTACAGACCCAACACTGAACAGACCTTTAATTTGCAAAGTTAAGTTACACTATTGTATGTGAAAGCTTTATTTGCTTTATGAGGCACAAATCTGTGTCTGCTGGTCTGAATTTGCAACTGCTGGCACCATGTGACTCTTGATAAGTACGGATGATAAAGAGACGGCTACAGGTGCATGTGCACCTCCTCTGCTGCCTGGCGGCTGGTGTCCATGCTTTAGTTTTTGTAAATTCAAGAGCATACTCAAAAAAGGTCAGGGTTTACTTCACAGTGAAAATTCTAATTGCTTTCGTTCATATACAGGTTACATTATCTGCTTCCACTTAGGAACCTTTGAAAACCCATCATCAATGTATTCATTAAAATGGAAATCACTTCTTCATCTTGGCTTTTTGTAGATGGCATACCATGGATCTAACCCTGGTCTTAAGAGACAAGCTACCCAAATAGTTTGGTACATAGTGACTTTTCTATATAATGTTGGACAATGCTGGACAAAGCTTTAGCTTCTCTAAGACTAAATAATGTAGTACTTGGTGGAAGATGCAGTTAGGGCTCTTAACTGCCTAACACCAGGTCAGTCTCCCACAAGTGCTAGCTCTCACTACAACTGAGTATCAACCTTTCTGTCAGCCCTCTGACGGAATGCACACCAGATCGATACTTCCCGAAGTACCCACTAAAGCAATCCCTACTTAATGTGGGCAAATTCCTCAACTGCTCATACTTCATTTCAAGCAGTGTTTCTTTGAAACAGAACCCTAAGTAGAATCTTGAGTCCCTTTTTAAAAAAGACTGGCAAAGTAAACAAGACTGAGAAAAACTGTAACTAACTGCATCACTGCTGAGAGACTCTTCAAGTTATGCATTCTTAAAACCAAACAAATTGATTTTGAAGCCATCATCATTAGCACTTAACAATTAAATTAAAATTAAACTAAAAAATTTTCCTACTCAGCCTATTTACTAAATTTATTATAGAATTTTCTTTCTACCCCTACCATAAAATTTATTAAAGTTAAATAAATTATGCCTAAAATACTATGCCATTTTTAAAATTCATATACAAAAAAACAAAAATGCATATATGACACAGAGAAATACACTAATTAAATAAGGCATAGAAACTGGTTAACATATACATATATAGAATTATACCTTAAATATCAAACATATATAATACTATAGACAGCAAGGCCAAATCTCAACAAGAAACTAAGAGTCTAAAAATAATAGCCAGTTGGGTGGGGTGGTGTACACCTTTAATCCCAGTGCTTGGGAGGCAGACACAGGTAGATCTCTGAGTTCTGGGCCAGTGTGGTCTATGCAGTGAATTCCTGGACAGCCATGGCTACATAAAGAGAGCCTGTCTCAAAAAAAAAAATTTAAAGTAATATCCACAATAATTTTTTGGAAGGCAGCTATGCTCACCACTATACCACCAACGCAGGTGCACAGTAAATTTTTGACTGAGAACAAATGCTCTTTTTTAAAACTATGACATAAGTAATGCCCAGGAAGAACTGCTTCTCATATAGGACATGAAGAATGCTCCTAAAAGAGTCTAAAGAAAATTATCACATCCGCTTTGAAAAGACGGGCCCTAAAGCTTCACTAAATACACAATGAAGCTCACACGCTCTCACTGCCTACAAACTACCTGCTGCCCCATCTGAACAGCCTCTCTCCCGACAGAATGGCGTCAACAGGGCAAATCAGAGAGTAAGTGGAAGAGAGAAGTCCGTGTATACACAGCGAACTTTTAGCAGCTTGCCATTCATTTCCTATTTCAAAGCTGTGATTATACTTAGAACATCATGTGCATCCCAGCTGAAAACATGCTCTGATGCTGCAATGAAACTGCCCTGTAGTGAGCCATTTCAAGAATAAAGTTCTCCCAGCGACTCGAACATGAGAAGTGCACTGTGCCCAAAGAGACTTTAAAGTTACAGTTCACATTACAGCATCTCCATCTCTTTCTAGAACCAGCCACAGTGCTACATGCAACAGAATCTAAATGACACTCCTTTGCATAAAAATAGTATGCATAATTTTGTCACAGCAAGTCTTGCCTCGATACCATCCTTCTAAGGAAAAGGTCTTCACAAAAGCCCTTCCATGACAGACAAGACGCCTTCCATCAGCCAGTGCCAGTGCTCACGTGCAGGCTTCCCTCGTCCAGACTTGGACTGCTACCTGTTACACAATCATTGTATCTAAACATGATGTTCAGTTCTGAAATTATGACTATTAAAATCTGTATGAAAAGACATTTAACATGCATTTTTAATATTTTACTTTCAAAAAGGTGTCTATTGATGAAAATATGAACTCAAAATTTATATTTGTACATAATATACTTTGTTCTATACTCACACATCCATAAGTAGTACATAAGCTTTACTGTCTTCTGGAATTCTACAGGAATGTCTACAGAAAAGTCTTGATAGAAACAAGGTCCCACAGGAAAATTGCTAGGAAGAGGTGGCCAATTATTTTTTCTCCCTGTAAGTTAAAAAAAAAAGTTACTGCAACAAATACACTGTATTCTTACTTTATGTCAAAGTACAGCGCACTGTTCTGGTAGATGGCACACAGCCGGGAAGCTGCTCCTCTCTACACTCCTACAGCCTTGAAAGCCAAGCCTACGTTTTTCATTTTTTTCTCAGATTAACATTTTAGAAACAATAAATGCTAATAAAATTTTCCAGTGTCATATAGCATGTTTAAGATATCTATGTACAGGAGAACCCAGAGACAAACCCTGAGAGTTTCCTAAAGCAGGATTAGTGCACAGGCCCAGGGCCTGGCTACCGCAGGGAAGGCCGTCCAACTCTGAAACTTCCATTTTCTCCTCAGCGTCACAAGTCCTTCAGCAGAATTCTGCTAAATTCCTAACTGATGTGCAGAGGGAAACAAGGTTCTCAACAACACAGACCAAAGAATCAAGTCTAGAGTGAATGACTGGGGATCCCAGCATCCTGAGAAGCAGAGCAAACCAGTGCGGTGTGAGGAAGGAGTGCGTGTCCACACAAACAAAAGATGGACAGCAAGACTTGGGGAATGGAGGCAGCAACAAAAACTAAACATAAAGCACAAATTCAGATAAAAAACACAAATAAAAATAACAACTAATGTCACTTTCTGATATTAAATATATAACTTTTAACATTCAATTATATAGGTATCTTTACCTATCTGGACATTTCTTATAAAGAGAAGGATAACCCGCTGTTTATCCTCAGCACGTGCCCTCAGTTACAGTAATTACAGCATCAGAATTGGGGACTAGGGATGTAACTCAGTGGCAGAGCACTTGCGCAGCCTAAGATGGCTCCTCAGGAACACACACAGCACACAGCACTATGTAAGAGTTGCCAACAGAGAGCAGCAAGGAACGGAGGCTCTGGAACAGAAGTATCCAAGCCACTCGCTGACTGTGTGGTCTTTTCTTCAGAAAGTTAACTACTGGGTCACACTTCCCAGGATGGTACTGAGGATTTAATATGGATTAAAAAGTAAAAAAGTACTTCAATGTACTAATATACTGTAAAATTTAACAATTAAAGTCTATCTCTTTGTTACTATCTTTACCAAAATATCTTTCGTCTGTCATAGAAGTGTTAGTGTCAGTCAGCATTAAGAAAATAAGACACATTATCATTAATGATATCTCCCTCCTAGAGAAATGATCTCTGATGCTGCAAGCAAGGAAATGACCAGGATAAACATGTCCTTGAGAGACCTGAGACCTAAACACTGTAAGAGAAGGAAGAAATAGTCAGTATTATAGCCATTCTCTGTTAAGATTGTTTTGCCATTCCAGCCACCTAGCAATCCCTCCCCTGACTCCCGTCCTCCTTCCTGCTTGCCTCTAACTTTCCCTCACAGGTTCTTAGAGTCATCTTCAGTACTCAGAGCCTGAAGAGATTCCACAACATGTAATTAATCATACAAATGCTTTCTTCACATTTTGACAAGTGTAATGTACCTGTGAGAAAAAGACCAATAATCCGAACAGGTCAGACTCCAAGGAGGGGCACACTCAAAGTTCAATGGAACTACTGAGAAGCCCACACCTACACTCTCAGGTGCCTTCCTTTCTTCTGAGGGCCTTTCTCTTATCCTGCATGTTTAAGCCTGCATTAAGATCTTTCGTTTCTGCCCCAGCTCTTTTTCAAAGAAAGAAAGAAAGAAAGGATTTGAGAGAGCCAAGGGCAGAATCAAAGGCTCCTGGCTTGAAATGAAGCGAATGGATCCGATCTGTGTCTCACTTTCTGTGAGGACGCCAACACTCGTCTAGTCTATCAAAGGACCGTGCTATCATCAGGCAAGATCAGTGAGCTGCGGGTATCAAGGGAGCAATCTGCTGTGTCTGACCTCTTTGCTAGGATCAGAAAACAGGGCCGAGGTTTATCACCAGACCTAGTGACTCAAAGCAAGGACAGGCATTTTCATCCCAACTCTTTGGATACTACCATGTTGACTCAGGCTCTGCATCTCCCGTTCTCGGCGGTCTAATTCTGCGGCCTTTCTCTCTAGCTCTTCTTGGCGCTTGAGGAGTTCAGCTTGAGCCAAGGCATGTTCCTGAACAAAATTGCCAACACACACAGGTTACCAGACAGTCTAAATAGTCTAACATTCACATGCCCACTCTTATCTTTACCATGAGAGAAACCTCAGTTAAAAATATACATATATGTATATAAGAATTTACTGAAGGTTATAGTTTTGGAAAATACTTTAGAGATGTTTGATTCATTTTACTTTTAGTTATGGAAGCCCTCAGAAGCAATGTTGAGTCCGCAGGATAGGAGAAAACAAACACAATCTACCTCTCATTAAGAATAGCCAGAGAGCCTTTTAGAAACCTATTCTCTTTGGATAAATACCTTGCTCAGCCTAGATATAGTAGAGAGGGCCTTGGACCTTTCCCAAAGCAATGTGCCTTACCCTCTCTGAAGAGTGGACTGGGGGGTGGGGTGAGTGGATAGATGGAGGGGATGGGAGTGGGAACTGGATTTGGAGGGCCTAGGTTCAGTTCCCAGCACCCACATCAAGTGGTTCATAATTACCTTGTAACTCCAGCTCCACCAGTATGTGCACACATCTACACACAGCCACATAAGTACATGTCATTGAAAACAATAAAAATAAATCTTTTAAAAACAGAGCAGCAAGAGTCTAAGTGACCCTGTGCCCAGGTGAGAGTGAGTGAGGTGAGGGACAGCTGGGGAAAGATGACTCAGTTAGCTCGGAAAACAGAGTCAAATGACGCAGTAGGCTCCAGAAGAACAAGAGTAGTTCAACACATCTGAAATGTCCTAAGATTCTGCGGGGACGGGGATGTGCTTATGGCAGTCTGCTCTCTAACTCTGTGTTAGAGCAGCCATGCATTTCATACGCTGGTTTTCCTGGACATTTGCCATCTCCTGCATCCTCCTAATGCCCACTGAGTAGTGACTAGCTCTCTCCCAGGCATGTTTATTATTCTATTATTGTTACTGTAGTGGTATTATTCATTGAAATCAAAGGCAATAAAAATTTCACTGTATGAATTATACAATAAGATGATATATGATCTTCCAGTATTAATCTACACAGTTAACATGCACTAACCTTTGTGATCTGTGTGTAAGCTGGGTGTTCCTCTGTTGGCTTCATTATTGCTGGCTGGGTGTTGGGTACATTAGGCATTTTCACACTGCCTGGTGGAGGCTAAAAAGGTTAAAGACAAATTATGTAACACAGAGACACAACCTTAACTTATTTCAAAAGAATCATAGAAAGCAGAGTCCCAAGGCCTGTCTCGGTGTTTTCTCACGGTCATGCTTAGAAGACCGCACAAGCGCCGCACTGCCACTTTCTAACCCACTGACCAGTTTTGCAATGCTCAGTGCACCACGTAAGAACAGAGCACAATTGGTTCTTTACAGTAAAGACACCGTCAGACTAAAGAACTACATAAAATAGCGGGATATAGGGTCATCTGCTTGTACCTAGGAGGCTAAGGCAGGAGCCCAAAAGCTCAGGAGCCTGAGAACATGAGATAAAAGAAAGGAAAAGGGGGGGGGGGTAGAAGGGAAGGGGAGATACGGAAGTTTACAGTCAGCTCTTCCTTCTGAAGACACACACATGTCAAAGGCCTGAAAACGTTCAATTAGAAACCTGCCACCAAACATCACTAACAGCCCCTCTTTGCCAGGATCACCAGCCATACCTGACAGTGGCTGCAGCGCCAAAGAGGAGATAGACAGCTGTAAGTCCGTCTGTGAGTACTTAATAGACTATTACAATTACAAACATACCTGATGTGAACTTCAAAGAGAATGAGTCAACATTGTAGAAGAAAATGTAAAATGCTAAATTGAGATTTTCAAGATGAATACAGATTTATATAGCAAATTGTTACTGAAGGAATTTTATATACTTGTCTATTATTTGCCTCCCCAACAGATACATCATATAGCACTTTGTTGTTGTTGTTGTTGCTAATGTTTTGTTTTTGAGGCAGGATCTCCTATGTAGCCCTAGCTGGCTGGGACTGGCTTTAAACTCAGACAGAGATCCGCCTGCCTCTGCCTCCAGGTCATCCACCACCATAAAGGTATGCTCCACCATATCCTGCAGTAATACTTTTAAAAGGTAAAAAGGAATTGAGACCAGATGTCATGTCACATGCCTGTATTCTCAGCCCTCGGGGGCAGAAGAATTACTGCAAATTCAAAGATGGTCTGATCTACAGAGTGAAGTCCAAGCTAGAGTCCCCTAGAGAGCGAGACATTCTCTTGAAAGAAAACAGAACAAAAAGTGTGTAAGATCCCAGTACTCAGAAGGATCACAAGGTTGAGGCTAACCTGGGCTAAATATATAACATGACATATGAGCGATCAAGAGAACAGAAGCACAAAACCAAGCAGCTTGGCAGCACACTTGAGGAAAACACAAAATCACCCTGAAA